TAAGTTTGCTCAAGAACCATTTTTTGAAGCTGAAAAAAAAATTTGTTAACTGAAAACAAATTACTTGAAAGTGAACATTTATTTTGAAACAAAAAAAGTTTTGAAACTGAAAAGAAATCGTGTATTTTTTGATTTTATGATACAACGGAATGACATACAGTGTATCATTAATTAGTTCATAAAACAGCCTGCCATATTCTTAAATTATAGGACACAATGCTCTGCCATAACTTAATATATGATACAATAGCATGCCGTATTTTCTAATTATATGATAGACCTGCCATACATTACAACTATGTGACACAGTCTGCCATACACTGTTAATTTATTGATATGGTTAGGGTTAAGTTAGGCTGACACATTTTTTAATTATATGACACAACAGCCTGCCATACCTCTTTCATTATATGATGCAACAACCAGCCACAGTTATTATATGATACAACAGCCTGCTGTATACGATACTTGTAGTTTATAAAATGTTCTTTAAAAATTAATTGTAAACAAATCTATGTCCACATTTAGCTCCATGGTTATTTCTCAACATAAAAAGATGTTAGTCGGTGATTTCATGCATTCTTTTAAAGAATTCTGGGTCTTTATTTGATAAAAATCTGAGTTGTTTTTTCCTCCTGGAGTTTTTAACTGAAACGTCCTTCAGCATATTTCTGTGCTTCAGTCACGTTCAACACATCTGCAGCACATTTGAAATCTGAATTAGTTTCCATTTCTCACAGCAGCCACTTCATTCTGGTGAAATAAAAAAGCCAAAGCATCCCACGTCTCATTGACACTTCAGCTTGTGATGAAGTCTCAGTAAGTCAGGCTGTAATGAGCTGAACTCAGATTTATTTAACAGGTTTAAACAAACAGAGAGGTTTTTATCACAAACATAAAGAAAGTTTCCCTCCGAGGTCAAAACTTTACGACTGGAGCACGTTTTTATTCAGACTCGCTGTCAGCTGCTGACGGATGGAGGACGAGGTGCTCAGAGGTCAAAGGTCAAACCAGAGCCGAGCAGACGTTTGTGTTTTTGAAGAACTGCAGCCGAGGATTAGACAGTCTGCCGAGGACGATAAACAGAAAACTATTTCTGTTCTAATTTAGAAACATAACGTTTGTTCTTTAAAATTAACAGCTGAAAACATGGATTAAAAAATCCCCAAAATTCAGGACTTTAAAAAAACGTGCGGTCAAAAAATGATCGTTTTTGTTACAAAAATTCTCCTTTTAAATCACATCTTATCTGAATTTTACACCTTCAAAATAAAAGCCTTTTATTCCCACTTCCTTTCATATTAAGAGTGTAAAATGATGAGTTCAAACTGTTTTGGAGAAAACAGAGCCTCAGGCAGGAATCAAACAAAACCTGGAAGTAAAACTCAGACAGGTGCACAACAGTGACTCAGCGCTCTGAGTTCATGAGTCAGCACTTTGACATTCAGCTCTGATGGAAAAACCTCAGAGATTCAGCTGCAACAAACTGAACAACTGAAACTTATTCACTGAACAAATACGTGCTGCTTTGAACAAAGGTCCAGTAACTGGTGCTGTATATATTGATTTTCATAAAGCGTTTGACACA